GTTTAAAGTGCCCCTATTATGGATTTTTGAAAATTACCTTTCATGCAGTGTGTAACACAGCTCTAAGTGAATGAAAACATCCTGCAAAGTTTTAAATCTGAAAGTGCACCGTGTATAAAGTTATTGTCTCTCAAAAGAAAGAGTCGACTCTGAATCATTGAAACGAGTCATTTTTAAACCGAATCCCAAGCCGTTTCATGTTGACATCAACATGAAACATTAGCATATTGCCCGCCCACTTGTTGGTCTTTTCGAGTTGGTCTGAATGAAATGCAAATTCATTCTTTGCCACTAGGTGCCGCTTTAGGAGCGGTAAAATAGCAGTTTCCCCGGTAACGCTGTACACAAAGCAGCACTGCTCTCACAAACGCTGCTTTATCAGGCATTACAGACATGATGAAATTAAATGAGACCAGTCGACCAATCACTGCAGATTAGTGTCACACAAAGGAGGGGTTTGGAAAAATGAATCGTTGAGCGAATCCTTTGGGAGTGGTTGAGCAAGTAAGGTAAAAATAAATGCATATTATAAGACAATGAAAGTGTTTTTCGACCTTGCATGCATGTCAAACTGTTACTGGGGACTCCCAAAACCAAAATATGAACCTTTCATTACCCATAATAGGGGCACTTTAATTATTAATAAAATATAATAATAATAATAATATTAATATTAAAAATGTACTTTTTATTGGTCATGCTACTGTTTTGAGGTGTATAGAATTTGGATTAAAATGTACTGATTATAATATTATATTTATTTTAGTAGTTTTAATTTAAATTAGGTAAAAGAAATAAGAATTGTATTTATGAAAAACAACTACAAATAAAAAATATTATTAAAAAAATAAATAATAATAATAATTGTCATGTTTTGAAGAGACTTACAATTCTTGGATAAGGTACCCGACCAAAGGAATAGATCTCCCAGAGTAAGATGCCATAACTCCATACATCTGACTTAGTGGAAAACGCCTGTTTCAGACAGACAGGTAGAAATAAAAAAAAAAGACAAGAAATGTCTCTAAACATATTAAAACAAAAGCAGAAAACATACCTTCTCCCTTAAGGCCTCAGGTGAAGTCCACTTAACAGGCAGTTTGGCTGTATCTTGAGTAGACGATGCTTCCTTGGTGAGGCCAAAGTCGCTGACTTTTGCTATGTTGTCTTCTGACACTAAAACATTACGAGCTGCCAGATCCCTGTGCACAAAGTTATTGGCCTCAAGATATTCCATCGCCTTGCAGACATCCCTACAAAATAAAGAAAGAAAATAATTGAAGAAAACATTTTGAAACATTTTTTGTTAATTTTAGAATTACTACATTAATAAGACAAAACTGGATGAGTGCCAAGGTTTTTAAAAGATGTGATAAAAAGAAACGCACATTGAGAAATTGATCAAACGATCTCCACCAATAACACTACGTCCTCTGGAGCGCAGATAGTCCACTAGACTACCCTGAAAAAAGAAATTAAGACATTCAGATAATGATTTATATGATTTACAGACCAGATTAAATGTATACGTCCAGTTATTCTCTGTGTCAACAGCTTTGGGTCACTCACTGACCTTGGCCATATACTCAGTGACGATAAAGAGGCTGCCCTTCTCTTCCACGATCACCCCCAGCAGCTGTACCAAGTTATTATGCCGTAATTGCCTGTAACAGTCAACATGAATATTTATATTTAAATATAAAAACATAAAAAGCCTTATTATTGTTTATTCTCTGTCAATCGGGGAGGACGTACGTCATGACAGAAGCCTCTGCAACGAAGGCCTGCGCTGTTGCGTCATGTTTGATACACTTCACCGCTACTTTCTTGCCTCTGTAGTCTCCGACCATCACATCTAAGAACCAAAAAGAGCAGATTTTTCTATCACTTGCGAGTTCAGATGAATTACTGGCTGCCTGGGTAGTTTATGATGCTATTAATATATTTGTGTTCATTTTTATAAGCTAAACGATGTCAAATCTGGGCCCTGAACCAAATTAATTTAGATTCAATGATCTAGATGTTATTTCTTAACAAAAAAAAAAAAAAAAAGAATCTGTACCCTCCAAACTCTCCCTTTCCAATAGACTGGATGAGCTTCAGTTCTTTTCTATTTCGATAATGTTTCTAATGAAATATGTCACCGAGGCTCCATCTATCTGACCAAAAATACAGTAAAACCAGTAATATTGTAAAATGTAAACATTTCAGCATGATTACTCCAGTCAATGTCACATGATAGAAAACGTTCTAATATGCGGATTTTTGATGCTGAACTGAAGCATGTCGTATCAATATTGAAAACAACTGCACTGCTTAATATATTTGTGGAAACCATGATTCATTTTTTCAGTATTGTTTGATAGATAGAAAGTTCAAAAGTGCATTTATTTGAAATAGAAATCTTTTGTAACTTTATAAATGTCTTTACTGTCACTTTTGATAAATTCAATGCATCCTTGCTGAATAAATGTAATTTTTTAAAGATTTGTTACATTTAACGCCGCCATAATGAGCCATTACAGACGACAGTGGACGGTATCAATTTACAGCTTTTATTTTGAATATCTCTCCACTGGTTTTCTGACAAATTTTTATCGAGTGGAAGAGTGTGGGAAGAATATCATATGCGGTCGTTTAATCACTATGAACATAAAGGCTTATTGTAGACGGTTTAAGACACGTCCACTTCTTTGGAAAGACCACAACTGTTTGGCTGAGGCTATAAGGGTGGGAGAAAGAGAGTGAGGGTGACTGTAGCCAAAATTACACTAAAGAATGTGTGGAATTCCGTAATAGAAAGGGTGAGGAGAGACTTGAAGAACCCAACTAAAGTCACCCAGACCCCAATCGAAAATAACCAGAGCAGTACCATCAACACCTAACCGAGAGCGGATCACTGGTTAATCACACAGACCATCCCTAATGAGGCCAATGGACAGTGGAATAATAATTTAAAAAAAAAGATATGTAAAATTATACAAATGAGTCATTTACATCCTACATCTATGTAAATCGGTTCTTTTTAAGCCTATGTGTGACCCTGGAGCACAAAACCAGTCACAAGTAGCACGGGTATATTCGTAGCAATAGCCAACGTATGGGTCAAAATGATCGATTTTTCTTTTATGCCAAAAATCATTAGGATATTAAGTCTATAAATACATATAATTAATAAGAATTACCATTTCATTTTGCTTTCTCTGGCTCATCTGTGTAGCCAGCGCGTCTGATGTGGACTGACTTCCTGTTAGGGCTATTTTTGTATCTGTGTGTGGCGATCAATTTGAAAATGTTGACGAGGCAGTGAGAGGACTCTCAGGAAGAAGCCTGTTGGTTTCAGAACCCGCTGGGCTAACTTTGGAGTGTGCTTGTGCTGACTATACAAGTATTTTAACAATAATCTATAAGACCATAAATAGACCTGTTAGCTACGAAAACAACAACTTAAAGCAGGTCATAAGCCAGTAACCCTCACCTCCATGAGCTGCATGAGGTTTTCAAAGTACTCCTCCTCATCGATGGACAGTTTGCCATTGTGGTAGATGATGCGGTAATGCTCCACCTTGCCGTCGCAGCTGACACACAGGGTGTAGTCGCCGGGGTAGTTGGTGCTCTCACGCACCAGGAAGAGGCCTGTCTCTGGGGGGTAAAGCAGCCTCTCGGCCTGCTCGCGTGTGATCTTTCCATGAAACCATCTGAGTGACCACAGATAAAAGACATGTGTTTGCTCTGTTCATCATTTACAAGTCATATCAAAGCATATTTTGTGTTGCTGTGGTCTGATGAAGAATAGTTTTCAGTCAGTTGGTGAAGTTTATAAAGTGTAAAGTGCATAAAATCTGTAAGCATCACACAATTGCACACTTACTAACAAATGACTCTTATGAGCTAGTTCGTTTAATGAATCAGTCAGAAAGACCCAGGAACTCAGAAGTTTTAGTTTTGAATCAGTCTGACACGTTGATTCATTATCTGATGAAAAGGCCAGAGATACATTTTTTTAATTAAAACAAACTGCTTGTGATGTTTGGATAAGAGGGTTTGCTACCCCCTGTAGTGAAAATCAAGTTTTTTATGTTGATTAGACAATATAGACAAAACATATTTGTCTATATGTTCTTTTTAATATGCTTTTAGGCAAACTATGTGCCAATCCATTAATCAACACCACTGCTGAGTATTTTCTCCTTAAAACTGAAGTTTCCCCAAAGGCAGTCCAAAAAACGCGGTTTGAAACGGCCCTTTTTTTGCTACGTCACAAAAATCAATAACCAATCACGTCAAGGGATCGTATCATTAGCATATCATGAACTGTGCTGCAAAGCAGGGGTTCTAGTGAGAAGGCAGCCAGGTTAATCCGGTATATTTTTCTGTAGATGTTTCGCTAGCTGTTGATATTTTCACTATTTTCACGATGGCATGTGCTGTTACTACGGCTGGGCAAAAAAAAAAATCGATTTTTCGATTAATCGTTTTTTAAAATGACATCGATTCGATATCGATTCTCAAAAGCCGCAAATTTATTTCAGCACATATTTAAAACAAGATCTGATAAACGTGAATCTTATCATTAGTCTTCTCCACTAGATGTCACCCTTATTTACCTTGTGCGATGTTACAACAGAAATCCGTTTATCCACAGTGGAGAGAGAGCGCGCGTGCACATGGTTGCCAGGTTGACAAAGATAAGTAGCACACTTAGCAGATATTTCCGTATTGCGCAAGTGGGAAGCTCTGTTTGGGGGATTACGTCTCTTTATATCAGTTGTGTTCCTCTGCGGCTAGATTAAACCTTGTTATAGCCTATATAGTATGCTCTATTCATTATTTTTTAGAAACCTTGCACTTTTCTGCTCAATTTTAAATGTTGTTCTTGTATTCAAATTAAGCGCGGTCCACTGCTGCACACGTGCCACAATATCGATACAGGGACAGCTGTATCGATACTCGTATCGTCAAATCTCTGTGACGATACATCGTCTTATCGATGTATCGACGTCGTATCGATGTATCGAACACAGCACTAATGTTTACTGTTCATTTTTTAGAAAAATATCAATAGCATTTGTATTAAAACTATATTCATGGAATGTAATCAAAAAATTGAGAATCGAATCGAATCGAGAGCTTGCGAATCGAAATCGAATCGAATCGGGACATCTGAATCGATACCCAGCCCTAGCTGTTACCGCATATTTATTTGTATTTAGAATCGCTAACTTGAATAATAACCTGCAGCAACAGTGTAAAAGTAGCCTGGAGTCAGACCCACCTCTCCCGCATTGGCGTCCGCACTTCACTCGCATATGCTCGCGGGTGCGAATTGGAATCACAAACTTGGCTGCATTCAAGCATTGTCTTCAAGGCATTTTGAGGACACAACATCGTCAAGTAATTCACTTTAACGAATGTTACAGTATCCACTGTAGTTGTCCGCTAGTAAAAACCTAGTTTCATCAGTCATTACCCGTGGATCAGGAGGCTCTGGCTGGTGTGACTGAGTGGAGGCAGGGCTAATTTGTATATTCATAGATCTGCATATAGTAAATGAGGCAAGGGTGTAGAGTTACATTCAAGCTATTTTAAGGCATGAGAAAATTATTTTCACAAGAAAAAACATTTAAATATGTTATTTTGATGATCAAACATTTTTGACTACAGGGGGAGCCTGTTCTTTTAATGAATTGGTCAAAAAGACTCATGAACCCACAAGTTATCATTTTGAATCAGTGTTGCACTTTGAATCATGAATCTGAAAAACACATGAATCATAAAAACACCTTAGGGCTGCACGATATATTTCAGCATCGATATCGCAATGTGCGCATCCGTGATAGTCACATCGCAGGATATGCGATGTTTAGTATACTGACTGTAAAAAAGGCTATGGGTTTTTATTATTCTAACCTCTCTCTTAAATCTCTCCTTCTACATGTTGAGACACGTACATACACAGACCACTTCACCTAAGCCAATCAGCGTCCAGAAACCTTGACCACATGATCTCCCCCGCCCTCACAGAGACTGAAGTTCAGTGCAGTGGGATACGGGTCGGACGATTAAGTTTCTGCGACATCATTGTCTTTGGACTGTTTAAAGATAGCCTTTTGGACAAAGTGTTGTTCGTGAATGCAAAAAAAGACCACAGCCACGACCACACAGTCTGTTGAGTGGTGACAATAAATGGGTTATTCTCATAAAACAAGTGCATCTTCGTTTCGTCTCTAATCGGACGGCCTTTGGTGGGTCAGTACCCTGAGCCGGCAAATAGTTCTATATGGTGAAGAGCTACTAAAGCCAAAATTTTTTTCACTGACCGTTTTCTTTGCTCACACACAGACATCGTGTTTACACCAGACACGACAGCTGTCGTGTCGCGCCGCTACATCTATAGTCTGTCAACAATGGACGCGACAAAGCGCCCGCTTCAAATCATTTGAATTTTGTGTGTCAGTTTGTCATAAATGAGGCATCCGTTTACTGTCGGGGATTTGTCGTGACGCGCCGCATCCAGTGTTGTCAGACAGCATCATATAATGGGTTCTATAGTATTTTGTCACGTCGTGCCACTCGCGTCCGGTGTAGACATGGTGAGAGCCCCGCAAATGCACGTTAACACTGAATTCTGTTCACAACTATGTCAAAATGCATGTCTCTGCAAGTATCCTTGTAAACACAGTTGCTTATGGCTTAGGTGAAGGTAAACAATTGAGAAAGAAAATGGATGTGTAACAGTATATTGGTTCACAGCAGTTTAATGTTCCTGAGGCTTTCTGTGTCATTTAATCAAACAACAAAACACAGAGAGAAAAATCACTTTCTTTTAGCTTTAACACAGATTTGTTAGATTTAATTTATACAATGAAGACTATGCAGTGTTATTTTACATTTGATTATTCAATTTCTGTACCTGAATACTGTTAGACTTACTTGAAAATATAAAGCAGTTTATTTAATTTGTATCTTTGTTCTATTAAATTTGTCTACAGGTGCATCTCAATAAATTAGAATGTCGTGGAAAAGTTCATTTATTTCAGTAATTCAACTCAAATCGTGAAACTCGTGTATTAAATAATTTGTTTATTTTCTATGCTGATTTACCCACCTACAAAATCACCCCAATCATTGATTATTTTTTTCCAAATAGAGCTATTCAAGTCATCTGGTGATTTTGTTTTTCATATTGCAATATATATGAATATATATGTGAGTTTTTCCAATATCGTGCAGCCCTAAATCACAAATTCAGTAAAGAACTTTGTTGTAATATATTGAGTTTTCTACATAAAATCCTATTTATGTTACAAAAATCATACAGCATTTTTTTTTTTTAGTATAAATGCAGTGTGAACTGAAAGAAATTAAATTATTTTTAATTTGAAATCGTCTAATTGCCTGTGATGCTCCTCGTTTGAAATTTGGTTTGGATAAATACTAAATGAATAAATGTAGTCCAATTCACAAAATAATGATTATTAGCCGTTTCTTTAAGAGAATTAAGTGAAAAAGACTTGCGAACTTGTGAGTTAACACTTTGAATCACACTAAAAACAAAAAAAATGCTGTTGTAATGGTATTTTTTATGTTATAAACATTAAAATGTGTCAGAAAATAGTATTGTTTTGTTTCTAATTGTAGTTTACCTCAGTTGTGAATTGTATAAATTCAATCCAATACAGTATGAATTCAGTCACTGTATTCAGATTCACAAATGACTCTTATGAGCCAGTTCTTTTAATGAATCAGTCAAAAAGACTCATGAAAGTTATCAATTTGAATCAGTCAAATGCTTTATAATTTTCTAATGAAGCAGTTACAGATACTCTGAATATTTTTTAATAAATTGTATGTTTCTGTAGAAAATCCCAATACATACACTGTATTATTGTTTAGTTTAGTATAAATGCAATATATATATATATATATATATATATATATAAAAATTATGACTGATTGTTTGTGAGGTTCCTCATTTGAAAGACGCTTCGGATAAAAGCATTTTAGAACAATAAACATAGTGTGATTCATAATGACTCTTAGGAGCTGGTTCTTTTAATTAATCAGTCAAAACAAACTCATGAACTTGTGTTAATACTTTTGAATCACCAAAACAGTGCTCCTGTAATGGTATTTCACTTTAAAAACACTAAAATGTGTCACATAGAATAGTATTGTTTTGTTTAGTATGTACTTAGGCCCAGCTATCGGGAAAATTTAGTAAGAAACACTGATTCAGATACATAATATTGTGCACAAGACTGAGAAAAGGAAGCTAAATTACAGGCTTCCAAAAGGAGCGCTGGCCGTGCCTGGCCCTTCTGTGGCTTCCCTGGCATGACAAACATCCAATCTGTATCTCCCAATTACCCACACATATACATACACACCATCGAAAATAAACCAAAGCTGTGCAGTAGACGGCAAAAAAACGACTGCTACCGTCACAATCTGCTAAAGCCAAACACATCTAAAACGAAACCTTCCATTACACATGGCTAAAAGCAGACATCCAGATCCCATACATCAGGTTTGAAGGATTCACTTGACGCTGCATTGCCATGCTAAATAAAACTGTGTCGTCAGCGTCATTATATCCATTGTTCCTTCTAAAAACAGCAAGTAATTGAAGAATATCATCTCTTACAATTGAACCCTTATCGTGATGCATGTCTCTGGCCTTTGCATATCAGATGCTGAGAGATGGACTTTTTCCACTGGCCTGAGTGCTGCCATTTGTATAACTGTCTGATTTCTCCTTCTATTTTAAACAGCTGGCCGATTCAAATGAGTCCTTGGGTTATTGTGGTGGACCGGAACACAGGAAGACATTTGTGTATTATTACAGATATACAGTAGTAAGTGATCTGTGATGATATCAGTGACACATGCTAAATATAGCACGATAATGTTTGTATGTATGAAACGCACACAAACACTCTCTCTTATCGTAGTTCAAGTGAGGATCAGTGAAGACAAACAGTCTTGTATAAAAATAAAAAAAAGCATGCAAATAAACTATGTACTTACGGCATAAGGCTCAGTTTACCGCCTGATTTCACTCCTTCTCTCTTCTGAACGTAGTTTGCTGGTATGGTACCCTCTCGTCCTGCTGCGTTTTTCGCTTTGTACCAGTTTGAATCCTGGAAGGAAGCACCAGCAGACAAATTTTAAAGTAATAGGTGCCCAAAAATTAAAATTTATTTTGTCATATGTTGTTCCAAACACATATGACAATTTCTTATGTAAAACACGAAATAGATATTTAGCAGGATGTTCACGCTGCACTTTTCAATGGAGTTGAAATGTATTTCAACAAATACTGACTTAGATTTCAGTCTGTTCTTCACAAAAAGCAATTTTTAAGCCATTTTGGGACCTTGGCAGTCACTGGTTTCTAATCACACTTTTATTGTACGGTAAAAGTAGTGTGAATATTCTGCTGAACTTCTCTTTTTATGTTAAGTATTGCATTAAAATATACTTAGTTGGCAAATTTACAAACACTTAAAAAGTACACTACTGTTCAAAGGTTTGGGGTCGGTATGATTTTTTAAAAAATACTTCTATTCACAGAAATAATAGTTAATATTGATCAAAAATTCACAGTAAATGTTTGTAAATATTCAAAATATTTCAAATTCTTTCTATTTATCAAGGAATCCTGAAAAACGATTCCCAAAAAATATTAAGAAGCACAACTGTTCTCAACACTGATAATACAAATGTCTCTTGAACAACAAATCGGCATATTAGACTGATTTCTGAAGGATCATGTGACACTGAAGCCTGAAGTAATGACTGCTGATAATTCAGCTTTGCATCAAAGGAATAAATTACATTTTAAAATGTGCTAAAAATGTATAATATTTTACACTATTACTGTTTTTACTGTATCTTGGATCAAATAAATAGAGCCTTGGGGAGCCATAAGATACTTCTATTGAAAACACTGAAAAAATCTTACTGACCACAAACCTTTGGTAGTGTATGAAAATTGGTAGTTTATAAAAAAAAAAATTCAAAGTTTTATTTTTTAAATTTTACATTTAAAAGGATAGTTCAAATGAGGGTGTATAAATGATGTCTCTTTAAAATGTCTGTCATTCATTTTAGAAATTTACCTTAGTTACTCCAATTATAGTAAGGACATCTCCTTTGCACATGGGCAAGTCCTGGTCGGCCGTTCCAGGGAAGTTGTACCTGGCTACACACTCGGTGCCGGGAGGCCAGATCGTCTAGAGAGAGGAATGGAAATATAAGGAAAAGCCTTTGATGTACAAACACAGGATGCTGTATAAATGAATTAAATTCATAATTCACATTATAGCCAAATGGCAACATTTCAAGGTTTGTGTTACCTCAAAGGTAGACATAACTGAGAGAAATCGTCCTCTCACAGTCGACCCGTTTCAGCCGGTAACATCAGAGCTGAGCCTGAGGCGTACAGCTGCAGCCAGAACTGGCCAAAGATCTGTGAATACAAAAAAAAGTCATTATTGGATGCACTTTAAATAATAAAAAAAAAACAATACTATTTAATCAAACACTCAAATAACATTAACACTGAACATGCGCTTCAATGCTAAATCCTGAAAAGCATTTACAAGTAATAAAGATACAGAAAATGAACTTTAGCAATGACTCAAAATTAGATGTACCAAGCATGTCAGCAAACACTGTTCAAGCACACACACTTTCAAAGGGGAAGTGGCGGCTGTAGATTTTCCGATGCCTCAGACAGGAAGAAGGGCTGAGCAGCAAGCAGGCTTGCAAAAAGCCTGTTAAATATTCAGCGTGAGCAGCGTGTAACACTTTACACTTGGAAAAGCCTCTAACTAAAGCTAAATATACTGATGAACCTATATGGCCAATAATTGACATCTTTTAGATACTCAGAAACTCTACATAGACCATAATCACAAATTAGGTCACTTCTTGTTTTGAGAGTATATATACACATGTACACACACACACACACATTTTTAGGGTTTTTGTACATTCCTTTTTAGAGACTGTTTCCATTATTTATATTTAAATATGTGAAATTAAATAAACGAAATATTTGTTTTTCTTTTTCATGCTAGTCTATAGATTTCAGATAAGTATGCTAGTCAGTCAGAGTTTACATGTCAGTCTGATTCTTCTGGTCCAAGTGGCCACTAGATTAGATCTAGTACGGTTTACTCAAAGATCTGGCTATGAGACTTTTGGTCTCTTCATGTTAACATGAGGTTAAATAAAACTGTGCTGTTGCACAAATAAAAATATATTACTATGGAAAAAATTAACTCACACCACAGCTTGAGAACGCCAGAAAGCAGAAATGAGAAGTAAAAAAAACAAAAAAAAACTTTTCACTTTCGTGGTGATGAGCAACGTGAAGTTATTATTGCTCTCTTTCCACTATGACAAGTTTTGTAGGGAGAAGAAACTTCTGAACTGAACTTGAACTTAAACTAAAACAAATGACACCTGCAAGTCTGCCATCCTCACACAACACTCATGGGAACAAATTAGCAGGCAGTTAGGGACGATTTCTTACGGGAATTAAACTGCACCTGGAAGCAGAAACCAAATTTACCTGAAACATTTCTGCTCTACATTAGAAGTGAACAAAATAACAGAAAGTTGTAGGCGGAAATCTAACAAGTTATATATTCTTAAACAGAAAAAGAACTTTAAAAGTCAACATGCAACAGCATTCGCAACCTATTTTTGTTTCGTAATGTGATGTATTTCAACGAAAATAAGATGAGGGCCTTGATTTTATTCATCGGTGCCATTAATTTGTGCACAATATAACCAGGAATGGTCATTAAGAAAGTAAACAGGCTCCGTTTTGTTTACTTCAAAGACTGTGCACATTGGTTTTGATACCTTTTGCAGCTATTTGCAACAGTTTTCTATCATTCTTTGTGTGTAACAGTGAAATTCACACTGGTTCAATCCTCCCACCTTATTTTCACAAGAAGCGCGGTGCATGCGGTGTGCTTGTGAACTACATATGATATGACACTGAGCGCCTTGACCTCATTAATATGTCAACCAACGCTGACTGCCAATCTGTTCAATGCAAAGTAGCTCTGGCTTGAAAGCTGCAGCGAGCTCCACAACATGAAGTCACTTCCTGTTTGAGCTGCCGAGACTAAAACGGTCTTCCTGTATTGGCACGCAGGCGTTGGTGGGTGATGAGCACTATGGGTTGAAGGGTGTTGGCTAGAGCAGCAGACGGCAAAAGGGGCGCCAACATCGGCGCAATCCACAGAAGCCCTTACAGTGAGGATATAACACACTTCCCTTTAAAAACAGTCTTCCCCTGCTGCTCGGACTACCTAATTTTATACTCAGGAATAGGAAATATAGGAATAGCATGAATCACCTAAAGACAGGAAACTAATTGTCGTTGTAGTAGCTTGCCATTTCAAATATGTCCGAATTTGTCAGTTTTAACAGTTATTTTTCAAAATGCCTGAGTACAGGTACAAGGAATTAAGTGAAAGTGACGTGAAGGTGACCCATACTTGGAACACACACACACACACACCGTGAACACACACACCCGGAGCAGTGGGCAGCCATTTTTTGCTGCGGCGCCCGGGGAACAGTTGGGGGTTCGGTGCCTTGCTCAAGGGCACCTCAGTCGTGGTATTGAAGGTGGAAGAGAGCGCTGTACATTCACTCCCCCCACCTACAATCCCTGCCGGTACGAGACTCGAACCCGCAACCTTGGGTTATGAGTCCGACTCTCTAACCATTAGGCCACGACTTCCCCCTAAGCACTGATTAATGCATTAATGAAACCATTTTGTTTGTATCATAGTAGACCGGCGTTTTTTAGGCCAAGAACCCCTTGATGAGACATGGAGCAAGTTAAATATTAAAATTGAGTGTTGCGCTTTAAGAAAACACAAAATAAAATAAAAACTAAACAAAACAAAAAAATGAAGACTAAAAACACAAAACAAAAATAAAAACAAAAAACTACAAAATAAGACAAAATGAAAACTAAACAAAAACAAGACAAAATAACTAAACAAAAATAAACAAAACAAAATGAACTAAAAAAAAAAAAAACTAAATGAGAAACTAAACAAAATTTAAAAACAAGATAAAACAAAAACTAAACAAAACAAGACAAACAAACAAACCTCAAAACAAAGGAATAATAAAAAAACAAAACTAAGATAAAAAAAATATATTGGGAAATGATTGAGAAATGAACTGTGCAATAAAATAATGCCACAAGTGGTCTGCAAAAAGTGGCAGGAAGAAACTTTGTTTCAATTTAAGTAACCAACTGTCTTTACCGCACTTGCCAAGTAAAGCAATGAGCTATTAATATCTCACTCTCATAATCCACTTGTTTGCCATTTGAAGCTATACCTGTGCTTAACAGGACACTTTATTAGTGTTGTTTGCTAAGGCATACATTATTATTACTCATCATCACATAAATCATCTGTCACATATACTTGCGGTAGAGATTTGAACAATCCCTCTAACCTCATGCAATACACTTTGATGCAGAACTCAATCTGAAATTGTACAACCGAAAAAAAAAAATCCCACTGATTTTCATCAAAGAATCTGCCCATAACACCCTAGCAACCACCTAGAAACATAAATAGAAATATGCTAACCCTGTAAACAGGCTCTTTGAAAAAATGTGAAGTAACATATTTCCGACTTGCATTAAATAATTTGACTGTCGCATTGACACTAAGCTGTGGAAATCGTCCAGATGGTGTTATTGAGTTTAAAGGGGTCATATGATGCTTTTTTAAAGATCATTATTTTGTGTATTTGGTGTAACAGAATATGTTGACATGCTTTAATGTTCAAAAAACACATTATTTTTCAAATACTGTACATTATTGTAGGTCCTATATGCCCCGCCTCTCTCTCAAACGCTTCGTTTTCTACAAAGTCCCTCCTTCCGACAAATCTAAACAACCATAACAGAGGGAAACAAATGATGCAATCATGTGAAAACACCTAAAGTTGATGCACACAGACAAATAAAATGTGTAGCACATCAAAAAAGCAGGATACTGCCAAATCTGAGCAACATCCAACCACAAAAACGGCTCATTTAGAAAACAAGAGGCTGACATTCAAAGAGGAATGCATTCACCAATCAAAATCAATGAGGCTTTTCTGTGATCAGCAACAATTTCGGGGTGTGCCTTGGCAAATCCCTCGTTACAAATGATATCATTGTTTAAGGACTGCATCGGCTGGGCTACGCCTCGCACAAGAGAACTTTTCATTCCTTGAGTATCTGAAAACTTGCAGCAAACTTCTGGAGGCCAGCGGTCAGCTCACTGGCACTGAATCCAGGCAACTCTGGTGGCTCGAAGATGACAGGGACTGCGGAAGTTTCCAGAAGGTATGATGTAGAACCAAAGCCTTTCCTTTTATTCACAGACTTCGACAAAAGTGTCTTTGTATGCCAGAACTGGACGCTCCAACCCGGTTCTATCAAGGCTGGGTCAAATGAATCCATTTTGGTTTTAAGGACAACACCAGTATCCTTAAGAATCTTATATGTAATTTCACATGAGTAACTTGAGCACTAACAAGGCTATGACAGAAATTTTTTCAGTGCTTTTCCAGTTATTCAGATTACTGGATAAGGATTAAAGATTAATTAAATTTAAATATAAGTACAAATATAATTGGTATACAAGGTACCTAAGATATTTATAATGCATGATTTTAGTCATGCATGATAAATTTCAAATACGTTATAGCTTGACTACAAGTTTAAAAACAACGCTGCAATTGTTATAATTAAGTAAATTAAACTTACCATCATGAAATGTGTCTACACGGGCGATAATGCCAAAAAGAAAGAGAAACATCGGAAAATAGGCATATTTTATTCAAGAAACTATTATATGACATCAACATGCATTTATCACTCTTACAATCACCGCCAGAATGTCTAACTTTACCATGATAAACTTAAAATTGAGTTATATTATTTTTCCTCAACAGTCCTCACATTTCAAACACAAATTTGATTAGAACAGAGTGGAAATTATTAGCAACATCAAAATAACAGCAAAGCTAATGTTTCCTGTTAGTTTAAGCACAAACTAAGAAAAGTAAACCCAAACTTTGTGGCAATAATTAAAGGGGTCATATGATGCTTTTTTAAAGATCATTATTTTGTGTATTTGGTGTAACAGAATATGTTGACATGCTTTAATGTTCAAAAAACACATTATTTTTGGCCCTCTGTTCTGAACACAACGGCTTAAATACTCTAATAAAAAACAATAACTTAAAACGTCTTTAATTACTACTGCAAAACAGCCTAACATTAGCTTTAAGAGGGCATCCAGTCCAAACTAAATTGTTTCAACAGAATTTTTTCAAAGCACACAGTGATTAAACATTCATTGCATTAGGTGCAAGAGTATGTGACTTTGGAAGCTGCTAAAAATAGCCAGCTGACACTCTCCA